GGATTAAAGGTAACCAGCCAGGTTTTAGCCCAGTCATTAATAGTTTCGAGATCAGTATTAAGAGTATTGGCGCTTGCAATCGGGTCATCGATTTTGAGGAAGAGCGAGGTATCATCGGCAAATAATCAGACATTTGATTTAATATTCTCAACAATATCGTTGATGTAAAAAAGGAAAAGCAACTCCATTTAGTACTACTTTCTGTTGTCTATTTGAAAGATAATTGCCAAACCAATCTAGCAAGTCTCCCCTGATTCCAACGCCACCTAGCTTCCAACATAGTCCAGCCTGCCAGACACGGTCAAAGGCCTTGCTGATGTCACAGAAAACAATTTCGGTGTGTGAATGGTTATCAATGGCTTGACAAAACATATGTGTTAATTCTATTAGTTGGTATATAGTACTGTCACCTTGAAGAAATCCGCTTTGAAACGTTGTTAGTATTTGACAATCCCGCAAGAAGTTAAAGACATGCTTATAGATTACTTTTTCGAATACTTTAATTATAATGCTTAACAATGAGACAGGTCTGTAGTTTCCACATTCATTAGGAGATCCTTTCTTAAATATGGCCGTGACGTTGGCAAATTTCCAAATTTGGGGAACTTTTTTTGTTTCTAGAGAGAGTTTGAATAAAGTACAAAGTGGAGAGGAAATTTCAGTGGAAATGGATTTAAGTAATTTGGCACTGATGTCATCGGGACCAGATGCTTTTGATATATTCAAACTGTTGATGATATCTTTAACTTCTTGATGGGTTGGTACGATCTGTGTTAGTGAGTTCGGATTTTGTCTAATAGGAGGAAAAGCGGTGTTAGTGACGTTTAATTCGGATTGTTCAATGAAGAAATTATTGAGTGCATTGGCCTTTTCTTCTGGTGCAAAAAGGGTGTCATTGTTCACAACTAAAGGTGGCATATCTGTCTTGGTTGTCCCTTGGCCTTTCACAAATGAATTAATAATTTTCCAAAAGGTGTTATTTCCAAAAGTTTCTGAATCATTAATTTTGTTATCAAGTTTTTCATAGTATTTAATTTTTGCAGTTCGAATAAGATTAATATATTGGTTGCGGATAAATCTGAAATGTCGCCAATGGATGTCGTGGTTTGATTTCGTTGCTTTTTTGTGTATTCGATTTTTCTTTTTGCGTAATTTCCTAATTTCTACTGTCATCCATGGTTTATCGTTGGGCCGAATAGTTACAATTCGATTAGGTATGTTGACCGTAGCAATTGATATTAACTCACTTGTGAAGTCTATAGAAGCACGGTCAATGTCTTTTCCATCTATCAGATCGTACCAATCTTTTCCTATGGTATCCCGTTTTAGTTTGTCGATGTCAATGTTATTGTAGTCCCATACCGTTCTTTTAAAACATTGTGCCTTTGAAATTTTGAAAGATAAGTCGCATGATACAGGACAATGATCACTGCAGAAATTATCAGATACGTCGCAATGTTTAGTAAATTCTGGAAAATTGGTCAAGATCAAGTCAATTAAAGAATTGTTGCCGTTTTCTTGGTATCTTGTAGGTGTTGTCACTAATTGTTCGAAGTCGAGTAAATTTATTGCGTCATGTATTATCGAGTGTGTATTCCGTAACATGTCAATATTAAAATCTCCTACTATTAAACATTTAGAAACATCGTCATTGTTAGCCAAGAGAAATGAGTCAAAGATTTGATTGTCAGTTTTCCTATCGGAGTTTGGAGGTCTGTAGTAAGAGCCAACTAAGAATTTTTTATTAAAAGTATTCAATTCAAGCCAAAGTGATTCGATAGAGTTGTTCTCAAGATCAGTACGACGTTTGAACGATATGGTATTACGTACATAAACAACGACCCCTCCCCCGCTGCTGTTAATCCTATCTTTGCGTAATGGTGGATAGTAACTTGGAATTAAAAGGGTGTCATTTGGTATGTTTTCGTCAAGCCATGATTCAGTTATAGATATAATATCAAAGGAAGATAATTCTGCGGCAATTAGGTCAACTTTTTTTCTTAGGCTACGGACATTGATGTGGACAACGGACAAGAGACTGGAAGTGGAGGACTGATTTACGGAACGACAGCCGTAAGAGACGGACGACGTAGCTAATGGACCTGGATTGGGTTCTACATTACCTGATAATAGAATTACCCTGATTTTAAAAAATATATGACAGGTTAATAAGAGGTTGAAAAATAGGAGTGTTGCTGTATTATTTTGTAAAAGTAGGTACACAGTTCGGGTAGGATAAGAGTTTAAGTGATCGAGAGTTCTTAATACTATTATGTAGAGGTATATACAACAAAGTAGGGGAAAATCATAAGTTGTCACGCTTCGAGTATGCGATCGAAATATATCGGGGCTCAGAGACTTTGGACAATATTAAAGTTATAATTAAAATAGGGGAAAATCATAAGTTGTCACGCTTCGAGTATGCGATCGAAATATATCGGGGCTAAGAGACTTTGGACAATATTAAAGTTATACTTGAAAATGTTCAGGCCACAGTTTTGTGTAAATTTTGCTATCACGTAATTCAATATTAATCAAAACATAAAGTTATTGTCTGAATATAGTAAATAACGGAAGGTACCCTCATAGTACATATATGTACGTATACATTTAGGTATAAATTAGTGATGTCCATACAGTAAATACATTATCTACAGTAATATAGGTATCCGGTATTTCAATATAGCTCATGCAGTAGATATATAAGCTATAATAATTCACGTCAAATGTTTCAATATAGTCCATACTGTAAAAACATTGGCTATAATAATATGGAATCAAATGTTCCGAGGTTGCTCAAAGAGTAGATATCTATATACAGTAACATTGATATTCAATATTTCAGTGTTGTTCACAGTAGATACATTATCTATAACATGGATATTGAATATTTCAATGTTTAACACACAGTGCATACATTATCTACAGTAATATGGGTATCAAATATTTCAATGTTGAAAATACATTAAATACATAGAACAAACTTTACATACATTTTCTATAGTAATATAGATATTAAATATTGGATATTAAATATTGTAGCGTTGAACACACATTGCATACATTATCTATAACATATGGACATCAAATATTTCAAGGCTGTTTAGTCAGTAAATAGTAATATGGATATCATGGATATATGGATTTTCAATAGTAACAGTAACGGTAGATTTGCTATCAATAATAATATGGATAATGGATAGTTCAATATCAAACAGTTACGATGTTCTCTGAAGTAATTTCCCATTTTACCAAAAGTTAGGTATGAATAGCGATGTAATCGAATGTAGACAATATCTATGGATAATATAATTAAAATTTACCTATAATATCACATATTTCAAAGTTTGTCAAATAATACCGACTCTGACTTTGGTTGTAGTTAAAAATACATATATAATATTTCAGTCCTGTTCAGAGTAAATCAAGGCACAACATATTGTAGCTAAATAAACCCTTAGTAATACATATAGTGCTATGGATTACAAAATAGTTCAATTTTATTTATATAATAAATACATTATCTATAGTAATATGGGTATCAGAATATTGCAATGTTCTTCAAACAGTAGATACATTATCTATAACATGGATATTGAATATTTCAATGTTGAACACACGGTGCATACATTTTCTACAGTAATATGGGTATTAAATATTTCAATGTTAAACACACAGTGAATACTTTATAATATAGGGATATTAAATACTTCAGTTTTGAATACATAGTGAATATATCTACAATAATAGGTATTTCAATGTCGAATATATAGTAAATTCATTATCTAGAGAAATGGGGTTTAACGTCCACTCGACACAAACTAGGTCATTTCGGAACTAACACATGGTTCAATTTTATTTATATAATTCGCTTGCGCGTAGGGGTCTTTAGCAGTGGGAGGAAACCAGAGGACCCGGAGAAAACCCACAAGGTTGGACAGGCGACACGTACAACCGGGGAATATTTATCTACAGTAATATTGATATTAAATATTTCAAAGTTGTTTACACAGAAAAGACATTATCTATAGTAATAGGGATATCAAGTAGTAAAGACATTATCTATAGTAGTAGGGATACCAAGTAGTAAAGACAGTGTCTATAGTAATAGGGATATCAAGTAGCTGAACGTTTTTTAAAACTCTAAGTACATTATAATCTATAGTAAAATGGATATCAAATATTTCAATGTTAAATATACAGTAAATGCATTATCTATAGTAATATGGATATCAATTATTGCAAAGTTAATTAAACATTAGATGCATTATCTATAGTTATATGGTTATCAAATATTTCAAAGTTGTTTGAGCTGATTGTACATTATCTATATTAATATGGGATTCAAATATTTCAATGTTGTACACACATAATTTGAGTACACCAATTATATGTTATAATACTATAATAATGTGGATATAGTGATATGAATATCTAATATTTCAGCGTTATTTGAACAGTAAGTAGATTTTCTGTAGTAATGTGGTAACAAATTTTCAGTGTTATACATACAGTAGATACATTGACTGTATTATCTAGATATCAAACATTTCAATGTTGAATACACAGTAAGTACATTTTCAATGTTAATCTTTCAATATACATGTAGAACATACAATAATAACATTAGTTATAATAAGGCTATACAATAATAACATTTGTTATAATAATATGTGTATCAGATATTTCAATGTTGTTAAACAGTAGATACATTGTCTATAGCCATATGCACATCAAACATTTCAATGTCGTTCCAACACGAAATACATTGAGTATAGCAATATAGTTATCAATTTTTTTTCAATATACAGTTAACACCTTATCGATAGTAATATTGATATGGAAATGTTTTCATATTGTTTGAGTCGAGAATACATGATCCATAATGTTATGGATATATAAATATTTCAATAGTGTTCAGCACAAACTACATTATCCATAGTAAAATAAATATCAAGTGTTTCAATGCTGTACACACAGCAGATGTATGATCCATGTTATGGATATCAAATATGGATATCAAGTTTTTCAGTAGATACATTTTTATAGCAAAGGTAAGTATGCATATAGATGTCTAGTATTTAACTATGGACTTTGTTTACTTTAATTATTTGTTAGTTTCAATATTTGTATTTCATAATAATCAACAATAAAGACAATGTTAGTAGATAAGGTTGGTATCCATGTGTGGATTAAGTAATACATGATAATAGTTATTTAGTAGTCAAAGGTAGGTATGAGTATCAATTATTTTATGATAGTCAACAATAAAGGCACTGTTTGTTTTAATTTAGTAGGTAAGTATACTTTTGATTGGAGATTAATACTGGTTAATAATCATATCTATGAATTTGACATTTAATTTCACATCTGACATATCAAAGTTGTTGAACAACATGGAAATTATCCATGTCAGATAGAGACAGGTACGAGTTTGATATCAAGTATTTCGATATTGCAGAAACAGTAATGACAAGACTATCAAAGGAATAAAGGTAGGTAGATTATGGTATTAAATAATTCATTGATTTTCAAATAATAAAAACACTGTCTGTCTGCTAAATAAATGTAGAATTTAGATGTCAGATTTTTCATCGTTGCCTAAACCTAGATAAAAACTATGGTAGATAAGCTAGGTAATAAATATTAATAAAGTTACATAACAAATATTCTAATATGCTGGTTAGAATGTTTCTGTGGATATGCTATTCGGGAACGGGCGTTATGGATTCACCACAATACTTTATTATGTTTTCTTCCCTGGGGTTGTAGCCTGGGATGTCTAAGGGAGTTAAAATTCTTTTGACCATGCCAAATTCGTCTTCTGAGACAGGATTAAGTCTTACATATACCTTACCATCTCTGGTCCAACACTGACTAATGGATTTAGATTTATAGGCCTTTCTTGTAAGACTATAGATATATGATCTATATTTTGTCAGATCTTCATTAATGTAGACTTTTTCTGGTAGGTTCTTGTGTTGCTTCATGTCACTAAAAATCTTTCTCTTACTTTTGTAGCTGTTAAATCTGAGAATTATCTGTCTTGGTCCTCTCCCTGGTTTACCAACTCTATGGCAGTTCTCTATATCACCGGAAACAATATTAGGGCATACAATCTGCAAAACATCAAGTGTCTTCTTTTCAATATTTTCTTTATTTTGTTCTTCGACTCCATTTATTCTGATACAATTCTTTCTGCTATACTGTTCCAGCTCATCTGTTCTCATTTGTATTTTATTGTTCAGGTAGTTTGTAACTCTAGCTAGCTCTATCTTTAAACAGTTCACTTCTTCTTTCAGTGGAGTTACAAATTTTTCAAGACTGTCATTTACTATCTCACCTATCATTTGTCTTAATAAGTTTTGAACAGGAGCCTGTCTGAAAGAGTCTGCTACCTTCAAAGCAATTGTACTTACAGTGTCTGCTAATAGTGTTTGGTCAATGTCTTTGACTGCCTCAGGGAAGTGTAACAGGTCCTCAAAATTGTCTTCTTGTTCTGTAATGCACTTTGAATCAAATAATTCACTAGCAGTGGGGGGTGATGGTACTGAAGGGTAACTTGCTTTTAATAGCATTGATTTTATGTTCTTTTGGACCACTCTCTGTTTCTTTAGTGTTTCATTTTTGTTTGCAGCCATTAGAATGTCTTGTTGCATCTCTATTGGTGATCTTGTAGGGGGTCTTTTTCTGGTAGATACTGGCGATTCCATCATAGTTTAGTTTATACCGATCACTAGATAAATTCAGTCAAATAAGAGATGTCGTTGACTATATCTGTAGTCGTATGAGGCAGGAACAACAATATGGCCCCCTTAGCGATATGTAAACAAATACATGTGATCGTCTTGTACTTGGAAAATAGCAATCCAGATTATAATTACATATCAAAGGCACATTATCAGTGATCTAAAGATTATTTACCATCTGTCTGTACACACGTTAGTCTTAAAATATCGTTAAAACCACTGTTTTTCATTTATTTTCCTCTGAGCTCCAAAGTTTATTCGATTTTGTTAAAACTTGAAATGTAAGTATATAACCCAAAGATCTCGGTTCCTTTTGATATTTGCGCATATCGAATTGTAATTTTCTGAATTATGGCCCTTGATTGTAGGAAAAATCACTTCCTTTTTAGCTTGTTCTCTATCCATCTCTCGAAAATGTGGGCGTATCCTGCCTGGCAGCCGCTGGTTAACTCTGGGATTGTACCAGCTTCTTGGACTATTGGGAGCATGTGTGCCTGTATATAAAAAGAAAGGTGACCCCGGCTTACCTGAAAACTATAGACCCATAACGATCCTCAGCTGTCTTGGAAAATTTTTTACTTCCACTATAAATAATAGATTAAAAAAATTTCTAGACGAACACAATATACTGAACGAAACACAGGCTGGGTTTAGAAAAGATTACTCCGTAACAGATCACTTATTTGCATTGTATGCAATTATATCTTATTTAAGGTGTTTTTTGTACATTTATAGATTTTAGTAAAGCTTTTGATCAGGTATGGAGAATAGGTCTCTGTTATAAAGTTTTGATTTCTGGTATTATTGGTAAATGTTTTAATGTTATTTATAACATGTATCAAGACATAACGTTCTCTGTGAAATATAAAAACAAAATATCTGAACCCTTTCCCTGTAAGACAGGAGTTCTACAGGGTGAAAATCTCTCCACACTTTTATTAGGGTTTCACACTGCGTAGCTTGTGTGAAACACTATTGTTTTTATTCGGATTATTATTAAGTTTTCACATTGCGTAGCTTGTGTGGAAGAAGCGTTAACCATTTGGTCCCCCCACCTTTCCTTAAAATATGTAACTGGCACTCCCACACCTGCTTAGGTAGAAAATGGCATCAAAGTGGTGCACAATACCAGAAATAGATAATCAATTTAGAAAATTTTAACAAGTGTGGTATGAAAGATTTTTGCTCGGACAGCAGCGCTATAGGGAACTTCCAATTGTTTTGGGTTGTGTTACGTGCAAGCAAATGTGTACATAGGACCTAGGTTTCTCACCCCCTCTGACTATATGTTGTCCTTTGTCAGGACATATGGGGAGTGACTATTGGACCTAGAGATTAGCGAGTTGTGGTCTAGGTTGTGCATCCAAATGTAAAAGACTTGAAATGATATAAATAGTCCAAAAAGAGCCTCAAACTTTGAAAAAAAAAAATCGTTGAATTACTGAAAATGCTCTTCTATTTTTCTTTTTATTCAAAATTGCTCGATGGATGTTTCTGAATCTTCTGGTACAGGAAGTTAACTGCCAACGCCATGTTTTAAAATTATCCCGAAATTGATACGTAAACCGGAAGATATCCGATATTTTGAAAAAATGCATAAAAATGAAGATTATTGCCAAAAACGCGATTTCTCCGTTGGATATTACTAGATCAAAAGGTCTAAAGTATCGTTCGATAGCCCAGTGAATGGAATTTCGTATGCTTTCTTCGGGTCTGTTGCCTGAAATCCGATTCAGTACTGCCATGCAGGTCTAGTTAGGCTTTCGGTCTGAAAGCCTATTGTTTTTACTAAAATTATTAATCTGAAAGCCTATTGAGATTACTAAAATTATTATTATTTTTCCGCCCGGGAGCCTATTTCTCAGTGTCTGTAACAGATAGCGATCTGGGACCTAATTTTCTATTGGGAAACCATGTGGTGCCTACTTGATCGACTACTTTTGAAACTTCTGCGCAGACCGGAAGTGGTCTAATTTGATACGGTGCCCAAAAATCAGACATTACTGGAAACCCTGAGTCTATTCCGGAACAATAGCAGTTGAATATTTCGAAACTTTGTCGTTGACTTATATCGTTCGAAAATTGCAAACATGTCGTTTACGAGACAATTTTTTTTAATTTTCAAAATATTCAACTTTGACCTACATTTTTGGATACCTGATGTCGATCCGATTTCAGTAATATAAGTTCCATTCAGAGTTATCGCCCTTTTTTTCGATTTTTTTTTCGAATTTTGTGTCCATTTGTAAGCTTCAGTTTGTTTTTACGGCCAAATGGTGGTTTCTGAAACTTCTGGAACATAAATACCCAATTTATACGGATACAATGATCAGGAAGCAAAATCTAACGGATGCAGCTTCGCGCAAGCGCAACAAAGAATTAAAAACCGGGCATCTAAAGCTATATACCTCTTGTATTCGAGGGTCCATAATCGCAATCTGCCCATTGACTGTCAACTTAAACTTTTTGATCATACTATACTTCCGATATTACTGTACGGTTTTCAAATATGGGGATTTGGGGAAGTATCCGCCATAGAAACTATCCTTAACCAGTTTTTAAGAAATATATTGAAAGTAGAAAAAAAATACTCCTCTGTGTATGTTAAATGGTGAAACTGGGAGATACCCTTTAAGTATTTATTTTAAGCAAAGAATGGTTAGATTTTGAATTAAAATGATAAGTGGTAAAACTAGCAAATATTCTTTGTTATTATATAAATCTCTGTTAAAAATAGTCTTGACGAATGTGGATATAGTTATGTATGGAACTCACAACAGGCGGCGAAATCCAGGTGAACTGAAATAGGAATTGTTTAAAGACTAAAAGATCAGTATTTTTAGTTAATTATAGAATTTATAAGACGGAATTTCAATTAGAACCGTATCTTATTCATTGCGGAATAATTATAAATATACTTTTATAAGATGTAGAACATGTAACCATAAACTCGCTGTCGAGGTCGGGAGATGGATGAATGTAGATTTTGAACAAAGAAATTGCCCTTTATGTAAAGTAAATACAGTCGGCGATGAATATTACTACCTATTCAATTGTACTTATTTTATTAAAGAACGTGTTTATTCCTTAATTGCCTATATACAGAGGACGTTCGTATTCATTAACGCCTGATCGATTTCTTAATCCTTTAATTAAATAAAACAATTTGCTGGAATAATTTATTTCGTAATTTAATTTAATTTGAGATCCAATTTAGAATTTGTTTTATAATGTCATAAAAACAGTCGATGTAGCCATATCCCTAACCCTAACCCTAACCCTAGGTGTGAAATTGTTATCAACGC